ATTATGTCTCTCACAGTGGACATGCACCTATGATGACAATTTCAGACCCCTCCATGATCTCTAAGTGGGAGAAGTTGCAAATTTTCTTTTTCAATTTAATTCAGTCACTGTATATAGTTATTTAAAGTAATATAAAAAAAACTACTGTGGCTGTTGCTTTAAAGGGTTTTACGGGAGAAAATAGTGTTGTGCTTCAAATGTACAAATTTTGTCGTCAGAGTTTTGTTTAATATTTGAAATGCCAGAATTTTTGCTTATCTTTGGATTTCAGACATAATTCTAAAATATTTGATCATCTATTTTGTACTTTAGTTTCACCATCTACTCAACTCTTACCCAAGTGTCTTTTACTTGTTAAAATATAATGAAGTGTTTATACTCTTAAATTAAACTATTCTTCCCTTCAGCAGATCTCAGCCCAACATGCTACCCATATGTTGCCATTTACTCCTTCATTCATCCCATGCCTCTAGCAGACACTGAAACCAGTTCAATCTTTGGTTGCATTTTAGCCTTTTAAGGGATTATGTTTTTGTTCTTATCCTTAGTTCTAGCAGGTAGTCAGACCAAAACAACTCTGAGCTCCTTTCTGCTTGTAGATGCTATCAAGTGGATTCATAACTACATTTCCTCACAGCACAATATAAGCTGATTATAGAAAATGACTTTCATTGGTGGATTGGTGCAAACCAGGTACCAGAGGTGCAGGAAGGGACGTGTTAATGCAGGGGGAGCTTAAAATGCCCTGGAGAAAAGGTTTCATCTTATACCTGAAAAAAGTTTGTACAACTGACCAGCATCCCTTTAACCACATTTACTATTGCATTCTCCTTTCAAAAACCTCAAATTGATTCATGTAACCAACCAAGTACATAGGATTTACTCAGGTAAAACAAACAATACTTGGTCACAATACCGTGTTTGCACTATAATAGAATAAAACAACAATTCAATGTGTTGTGGAAAATTTTCTTTTTCAATTCAATTCAAATCGTTTATTTCTATAGCACCAAATTAACAACACGTCATCTGAAGGCACTTTACAGTTCACAAGATCATCCAGTCAAGTAGATTCAAAGTTTTCTATCTAAGGAAAACCAGCTGATTGCATCGACTCATTGACTCAAATACAATCCCTCACACTAAGCATGCTTGTAGCGACAGTGGAGAGGAAAAACTCCCTTTTAACAGGAAGAAACCTCCAGCAGAACCAGGCTCAGTGTGAGCAGCCATCTGCTGAGGCCCACTGGGGTTCAAGGAGACAGAAGCAGAGATAGAAAAAGAAGCATAGATACAAAAGGCAACTGTCAACCAGCTCCACAGGCGGCCCCGTCCAGGAAACACACAGCCAGGCAGACGAGCTCCGAGCCAGCTCCCATGTCAGAGGATGAAGAGAGCACATCCAGTTAGTCACAGTCAGAGAAACAGGACTACACTGGAAAACAGGCCAAGCTCCAACATCTAGAAACAAAGGTGTTGATGGCAGCAGCACAGCTGATATTTCTCTCCAGGATGGAGTCACAGCCAAACAGGAACAGACCAGATGAAGCTACTATGAGAAAAAGCAGAGAGAGCAGAACGTTAGAGATTGAACTAACAGATTCTGCAGAGTGGGAGAATAGAGATAGAATGATGAAATTGTTTTTTCCAGATGAATCATCAAAATTTGTGGTGCTCCTAACTGTCAGTCATTCTCGTGGGCTTGTGCACGCTCTCAAACACGTTTAATAGGGATTTGATCTCGGAAGCGGGTTCAGGGTTGTGCATTTTTTTCTAAACTGGAGAGGGCGGGTCTTTTCAAAAATTAGCGAAAATCCTTCACAATACATTTAATACCAATATTAGCACTGCAGCAGATATATAAAATCACTTTTTTGTATATCAGATTCCTTAAATCTCTATTCTTTATGTTTTATCTATCAGCTGTATATTTTTTTTGTTTTTGCCCGACTTTGTACAATTATTTCTTCGATGCACCTTTTCCTGTTGTTTACTAGAGCTGATGTAACAAGTGAATTTCTCCCTTGTGAGATCAATAAAATCCTATTTTATCTTAATTCCCTGAATCTTGCATGCAGGGATCACCATAGGAACCAGGAAACAGTAGTAACGAGTTACCAGGTCCACCTCAGACCTATAGTCTCTACACTAAAACTGGGAGACCGTCTGATATCAGGTTGGTGGGATTCAGCTGTTTTTGTCTTGGAGACAGTGGAACCGTTGCTCCGTCTGGGAAAACTCTTTCCCTGTAGAGATCTGGAGCTCATGTCTTCACCAATGTTGATGGTTCACTGCTGTCTCTTCTGGTTCCTCTGCTGCTTCTCATTAGGGACAGTTTTATCTCCTAACTTATGATAACTGTTTTTTCTCTGAGGAGTCCGACTCCGTCCAACTGCCGTTGATCCGTCTCCATCCTCATGAAGCCTCTAAGCCTGCTATGGGACTCAAAGAGATACATCTCCATAATGAGGAGGGTTCATTAGATCTGATCCCAGCAGAGTGCTGCTCCTATGAATGTGCTGTGAGCACACTGGGTCAGGTGAATGCCCTGCAGTGTTAATAATGTGTCTGAATTCTCCTGCAGCCTGAGAAAACACCAGCAGCTCGAGCAGAGGGGGGTGAGGAGGGGCTGTAGGGATCATTCAGGAAACTAACCATGAATTAGAAACCCTGGGACTTAAGAAATAGTAAATCTTTGAACTGAATGAAGGAAGTCGTTGTCCAGCTTTAATATTAAAGCACTCTCCTTAAAGATCAGAGTTTCTTAGGTTGTTCAGTTGATGTGACATAACCACAGCAAGATGGGAAAGGATGTCTTCTTTTACTAAACCAAGTAGCTTCTAGAACGACAAGAAGCAAGGAGAACCTAGAGAAACCATTGTTCGGTTACAAATGGTGTCTCAGCAATCTGCTTCTCTTGGCTCAGAGGCTTCTAGGATCAATCGTCACACTGTAGGAACATAGACCACCATGGTCCAGGTGGATTAAAGCTACAGATGTTTTTGGAGAAGAAGCAACAACTCCCTGCAATCAGGGTCAGGGATAACAGGAGGTTGTATCATGGTATGGACTTGTATATTTTCCACCTCTGTGATGGTAGCATTACTGCCAATAAGTCTAGAATTCTTAGAAAAATATCTGCTGTTTTTAGGACCACATGTTAACGGTCTGACAGATCCAATTATTCAACCAGACACAGTGTCCACAAGTCCACTTGATGACCAAAGCTGATGAGAATCCAATGAGTACATGGCGAGAAAGCAAGACAGGAAGACGGGCTGTGCAAAAGCACTGGAACGAACCTTGTGCAGGCAAGGAGACAATCTGGCAGAGACCGAATGAGAGAGACAGGTAGTAATAGTAACAATAACATCTGGGAGGGATTAGGGGAAAGACAGGTGATAGATAGATAGATAGATAGATAGATAGATAGATAGATAGATAGATAGATAGATTGTACCTCTGATTGACAGTTTGTATGCTAACGCAAATGGTTCATTCAAGGTGTTCAAGTTGAGAACTTTAATCAGAACCCCACAGAAGGTCAGATGATCTCATCAGTGTTTCACAATTTCTGCTTTATTCTCCTCACTAGTTATTAATTTTGTAAGTTTTTAATTAAGACCAAAATACACAGGGCGCACTCTATTTTGAGGTTACCTTTTTCTGAGCTCCAACTTCCACCTTTCAGTGTGAACAAAAGTAAACTTTAAAAATAGGAACTGGTTGGTAACAAAAGCCTTTTAATGGTGGAAATTAATATATTTAAGCATGATCCCCAAAGTTTAGCAAAACAGAATCCTCGAAGACCAGGCAGTCCAAAAAGCATGGAAGGAGAAATGTCCCAGGCTTAATATGGACCCTGATGATGTTCCAGCTCCAGCAGAGACGGAAGACATTCTTTTCAAAATTGGGAGGAAACCTGGAGGAAAGATAATTTCACATACATGGAATCATCAGTTTAACTTTTTAGTTCGAAGCTATCTGCCTCTATTAAGTCAACATAATGCACTTTTCCAGTTTTATTTCTTTTCTATGTTTATGTAAAGCACTTTAAATTAAACTTGCTCTGCCTGTGGAGCACGTCGTAGGCTGAGATGCAGGAGCGGGCACTGATCCTGGTTCTGGAGGAGAGTTTATCACAGCATGTTAGCTGCAGACGGATCCGCCTCAGACTCAATGTGATTTTAAACAGCTGCATGTTGACACACACACACACACACACACACACACACACACACACACACACACTGATTAAAGAGAAGACGATTCTCTGATTGCACCGTATACTGCTCAGACTCTGAACATACATGCCTTATTTAAAACTGAGCCGCAGCTTCCTGAAGGTGATCCGCGCAAAGCTCAACAAGAGGTCACCCAGCTGTCTGTCTCTGTGGTTGCCATGACGACCGTGTCTTTATGTCCAGTAATTGGATTAGTGGTGGGTGTAGCCCACTCATAGTGATGTTTCTCTGGAGGTTCAGGTACATTTTGTCAGTGCTTCCTCTAATAAGACTTCAGCTCCTTTCTGATTGGCTATCCACTGGATCAATGATGTTTATTGGTTCCCAGGATCTAATGTAGACCATAAAGTGCTTCCAAGATACCTCTGGCGATTAGCTGTCCTGAAGAAGTCCTTCTTTTTGAGGAATTTTAGAGGCAGCTGTGAAAGTTTGGATCTGTTCTGGGAGTCGGGATGCATCCATTGGGTTTCATAGGTCCTAAAAGCTCCCAGGAGACCTGGAGGATGTAGCAGCAATCAATAACTTGTCTCCTATTGATGGTTCAGTTTCTGATTGACAGTGCATCATTATTATCACCAGGGTAACCTACATGAGCAGAGAACAAGGTAGAGGTCACAGAGAGTTAAAGGATCTGAGCGAACACAGGAGGAGGTCACACCCACAGATTTCTAAGATGTCAATGTGAGGCCACTACCTCTCACTGATATTTTAAGACCTTTGTCACATAAAGCTGATGTCATCTCGTCTTAATGTGGACTTTCAGCCTCACTGTCACGTGCATAAAGCAGGGAAACACACTTTCTTTCCCGTTTGAATGAATTCCCAGCTGTGTGAACACATTGTTCCAGTGTTTCCACTCCGTCCCAGTCAGGACGGCTTCTATCCGGTCATATTTGGCTCACACTGACCTCCAAACCTTTTTTTTTTTTATCCTCCAGCTGATTTCTGTCACATGACTTCAGTTAATCAGAAGGAGACACTTGTATTCGTTCTGTCGGTTACAGAGTGTCCCCTTTGTCCTTCAGACCCGTTTATTCTGAGACACCAAAGGAACATGACTCAAATATAAAAACAGTCATTTTAAAGCTTCAATGACCTCCAGGAAAGTCAAGGAGTTGAATTTCCAAGAAACAGTCTTGCTTTACTTTACAGTTCACCAGCCTTACCTCTGAGATTTCCCTCCTCTAACACTACTGTTTGGTGTTTTTGTGTGAGTAAGATACCAACTGTTTGGAAGCTTAAGTTATAATTCCTGGTCATCCAGGTTATAGTTAGACCCAACAATCCAGATCAGGAAAACCTTCAGGACTGAAAAGATGCAGCGTTTATTTCATGGCTTAATCATAAACTGTTTTCTGTACCTTACATCTCCAAATACAATTAAGTTAAAATTACCAGGCACCATTTAACTAGCCCACCTTTGTTCCGGACAGGCTATTGGTCGGCGCTCCCAGGGAGAAGGCGGAGTCTAACGTTCCAGCCAATCGAACCGGAGGAGTTTACACTTGCCCAGTGACAGCTAAACAGTCAGACTGCAGAAGGATAAAGCTCATAGATCCATGTAAGTTATACTGTCACTGAGGGGTGTCCTACTTCCTGTTTCATACTGATGGTATCATACAGTAGCAGCCATTCATAATGACCCTTCCCAGTCAAACACCAGCCGGATGGCAGCCCATTTCCCTGCATCTCCCTGCAGAATCCCCTCCAACAGGGTCTGATTAGGAGATGATGCTTCTCTTTAGATACTAAAAAGGAATTGTAGCGGACCAACCAAGGATCTGTCATAAAACAAGGACAGATGGACCCAGTATTCAAGGAGAGACAGTCAGTAGGAAAGTTCAAAAATGTTTATTAAACTAACCAAAACTAAAGTGGAGCTGTGGCTCGCGGACACTATAGGATGGGGAGCAGGGCACCGCGCAATCACAGACACTCTGGTTTAACAGTCCAGTCCAAGAATGTCCCCAAGTGCTGCAGTCCCAGAGGTCATGCTGGAAGCCGATCCTG